TTAGGTAAATTCCTGAGGCTCTCTCGTATTTCCTGTAGCATCTGCTGGCTGCTGCCAGTATAGTTACTGGCAGGAAAAGTTTTAGGCCTCATTTGTCTATAACCTTCTGGTTTCTCACTTCTCTTCATGAAAACATGTATATATGCAACCTCCACCAAGGACTTGCACACACCAGAATTCAAGGAAGACTGGCTGGTGTCAGAACTTATGAAAGCAGCAGCTCTTCACTGTGAAACCGTGGTTCCTGTAGTGCTGGAGCTCGTCACAACCCAGAACTGTAATTCTGTTAGAAAAACAAAACGAGAGAAATCACATTATACATACAGCAGCAAAAAGCCCTCACAATGTAGCTTTGGTGGCAGTGAAAAGTTCACATGTAGCACTTCCTTCACAGATACTAAAAGCCTGCTAAGCAAAATCTTCAGGTAGTCTTTACTCAACCTAATTTACAAACTGTGTGGGGCTTTTAGCAACAAATGTTTTAGGTGCCTTAAGTCTGAACAGTCCTGAATTGCAAAGGGTGTGGACAAAGGAACTCCTCTGTGTGGTGGACAAAGCTTTCAGAAGCAGATATGAACTGCTGCTGTGTTTGCTATCCAGCACTGCTGTTTTGCCTCCCCTTTCCACTGTGTCTTGTCCCCATTTGTCACCTACCTTGTTCTCTTCATCAACACCTTTATAGCCAAAAGTGCCAACTCTACTACCCATTTAGCCAGCATATCGACCAATTACCCTTGCTGTTCAATCAAGCTCCACAAATAGATGGAGTACACCAGTAAAAGCATATAATTACAACGATTTTATCCATTCTTCAGCAGTCATATATGTAAAAAGTAAACAGTTGCCTAGCTCACCACATGCAACTTAATGATTTTTTGTACCATCTGCCATTTGAATCTGTTTAAGGGTTCAGTTTTCTATGGCTGTCACAGTCTCAGTTTGAGTCTCCTTGAATCAGGCTTTGTCAATAGTTAAGTAATTTTAAAATTTATTTTACATAAGGGAAGATGAAAGCAGGTGAAGAAACCAAGAAAATTGAATCAAATTTTTTTACTGTAAAATTGTTTAACAATTTAAGCATCAAATTCACTGAGAGCATAGCTATGACATTTGGTAAGGAAAACAGAATTTTCTGCCAAAAGCCAAATAAAAAACGTTTGCATTTTGAAGGCACTGACTCATAAGGGAAAGAGCCCCACGTCTGCAGAAAACTCAAATCTCTGCATTGAGGCTGGGTACTAGTTAGTACTGCAACTGCTATGGCAAAGGATAGAGCAACCACAGTGGAACACTGAAAAAGTTACAGAGCATTTGCCTCTTTAGAGTATCATGAAATAAAACTTTTTCAGTCTCTACTACCTCGCAGAGGAAGATCAGTTACTAAGATACCGCAAGATAAAAAAAATAAGTATTTTAGCACTGTCTTTTCTTCAAAGGCAACTAAAATGGTAAAGATCAACTCACACTTTAGTTTCTATCATGAAATGTCTAACTCGCAATATTGAAATGTTCCTATTTTGTTGTTTCTGTTTCTCAAAGTGTTAAAAATTTATATTCCTAGTTTTCTGATGGACTATTTTTGAGAATTCAGACATCTGCAAGCATCTTTTGTCTCTTGAAAAAGTAATGTGTTGATAAGTGCTTCTCAGACATAAATTACACAGTCTAATTAAAATTAATTATATTAGACATAAATCAATAAAATAATTTAATAAACATAAATTAGACATAAATTTACACACTCTAATGAAATTCACTCTTCATCCAGGTTTCACTTCTATAATACCTTGCACTGTCATAAAACAATCAATGATTCAGTGACTGAGGAAGAAAACAACAATAGGAAGAACTCGCAAATTGCATAAATATGTATGCAAATTGTACGAATTAAAGATACATGCTACTGATATACAGATAAAACCTGAAAGCTGGAAAGTAACACATAAATGAGGACTGCAAAAGGAAACACAAGGGACACGCAATCCTGTTCTCCTTTGAGAACCATTCATGAAATAACAGCATTTCTCTTTTAAAACTATCTAAATTTTAAGAGGTGCACCCATAAGCTTTCTTTGCCCTGTGATAGGTTTGAAACCTTAAATGAGTGTAATTGAGTAATTATACTATTTTTTCACATGGTCCAATAGCATGTAATTCTTCAGTGTTCACTGAGTAAGGACAAGATCATCAGACATGTGAGTGAATCTTAAAAATTAACAGTGAAATTTTGATCCAAGTGTTAAGAAATCCAGAAATCAGCAGAAAGTACAGTATGAGCGCAATTAAAACATAATTTAATTTTGGCCATTTTCAAAATCATTTTCAAAACATGCCATATACTTAAGATCACATTGAAAGTACTTTGCCAAATACACTTTTTCCAAAGAAAATGAAGCAAGTATATTTAGACCATTGTACTAGTTTTGTTATGGATGTTCCTTTTCCTTCTAAGTGACCTTCTTCAAAAGAACACACGTCAGATACATAAGTGCAAGGATATATGCCAGTAACACTTGAAAGAATCACCACCTCCAGGAAAGTGAAACCTTCAGCACAAACTCATCCCAGAACATAGGACAACAAGGCAAAATATCTTAAAGACTTAGTAATCTAGAATATTGTTCAATTTCAGTCAGGAGTAATGACTACTCCCACCACTGGCAGCATAATCTAGGCAAAACCACTTGGTATTGTGTCACAAATACACCAATGAGCAATGGAAAAAAAAGTCCATACATGAGTTATTGCTTTTAACAAATTCCAAAAGGCCTGGAATTTAAGAGAAAATAGCTGGTTTGCACCTACATATTTTACATATTTTATCTGGTATTTCAATGTTCATTTATGATTACACACTCGGATAGCTGAGATAGACAAATCTAATACTCCTAAGAGAAATCAAGGTTAAATTAACAGGACACTTAAACCATAAATCAGGAGCAGCCTTGGAAAATAAAGCTGCACTTTCACTTACATTTTTAGCAGCAGCATAGCTTTAGCAGTGTAAACCAGCCAGGCCACTTATCTCCCACTACTTACCACCGACAGCATAATTGTTTGTAAGGCCATGCAGTGTGAACTAAGCTAAGGAACTACCCAAATAAGCAGTAACTTCTTTTGGTGGGTTGTTTCCTTTGGCAGCACTGATGGCACCATGCAGTTGAGTTGCATGTGAAACTAAGTCTTGAGTCTCAGAAATCCAATTAAATTCGTCCTCCAGAAAGCAATATTTAACTACACTTCACCTTGCTCTATATATGAACCTCAAAATTCACAAGTCACCTCCTCTTGCAGACATTTGCACACATTTTAAAGCAAGAAAATATTGACTGCTCAGCAAGAAATGAATTCCGATTTTGTACTTCTAACTAGCAAACACCAGCTGCATCCGAGGGAACTCATGTCTATTCTCCCTCGCAGTTTTGTGTCATTAAATGATTTGTTTGTTAATGCAGATATCTTTGCTGATGAAATTCTCCACTTCCCTAAAGGGGTTTAAAAAATAATCTTTAATTTATTTTCAAAATGTGGGGACAAAGCATTTTGTTCTACAGGTCAAAGTGTAGGGAAAAAAAAACACCATTTTTTTTTACACTATAATCATTAAAGATTGGACTTGAAAATAGGTGTTTGAATGAAAACTCAGAAGCATTCAAGGACAGGTTGGATGAGGCTTGGAGCAACCTGGTCTAGTGGGAGGTGCCCCTGCCCACGGCAGGGGGGTTGGAACTGGATGATCTCCAAGTTCACTTCCAACCCAAACCATTTTATGATTCTGTGAATGGTTACACACAATTGTCAGTGACCTCTAAGATTTTCCGGCAGAAAAATACCCAGCTTTATAATGTAACTCTAGCATTTTTTACCTCCAAAAGTTTTTAATATAATTTAATTACTCATATTTACACTTAACTATTGAATGTTACATATCAGTCTATTTTGGTGCCCTCTCTCATGTACCTATTCTAATATCTTATTCTATACATAATCACAACACTTTATTGCTAGGGGAAAAGAGAGCAATCAAGACTTTGGAGTCATAAATTTAAGTTTGTAGGGGGCTTGGTTCAAACCTAAAAAAATAAAAAAAAAGGAAGCTGTTCTTCAGGTAACGAGTCATCGAGCTGTAACAGCAATTTGCCAAAGGATGCATTTCCAATACTAAAAGTTTCCACAGAATGAGGAGAAAACTGGACCCTGAAATAGGACATAAACAGAACTACCTACGGTCAGGGAAGCCTGAGCTGGAAGTGACCAGATGAACACAAGGAACATTGTGCATTCGCTCGGCTTGCTTCATCTCTCATGCTCTGCTGTCTCCTTCAACAGGATACAGCTCTTCTACGGACACGTATTCCTGGCAGCAGCAGGAGTTACTGCAGGCGTACCTAAGAGCGATCTTTGCGGCTAACACCACCAGGACAGCCTCCGAGAACCAAGCTGGCTCAGGCTAGCATAGAGGCAATTCCCGCAGCACTGCAGGACCCAGCCTCCCAAGGATCACGCAGGCCAGGAGGGTTTCATCGTCGGGATGAGTATCCCGAACGTCCCCCTGGGACACCTGCGCTTCTCTCGCCCCTCTGGCCCCAGGCCGTGCCCCGAGGTCGCTCCTGCCACGGCCGTGTCCCGACAAGGGCCCAGGACCGCCCGGCCGTGCCGGGGCGCGCTCGATGCCACCCCCGCCCCGCCGCCCCCCCCGCTTCCCCCGGGACACCGCGGCATCGCGGACCGTACCTGCGGCGAGAAGGCGGCGGCGGCGCCCCGGGCGCCCGGAGCTCGGCCCCGCCCGCGCGGCCACGACCGGCCGCGGCCCTTCCCTCCCTCCGCCCGCCCCTCGGCGATGCCGCAGCGCCCGCTCGGTCCCTCTGCCAGCGCCCGCCGCCGCCCCGGGCCGCTCAGTTCGGCGCCGCCATTTTGTCGGTGTCCCCGCCGCGGAGCCGCCCGGATATGGGCAGATCCCGGCCTGCCTCGCGCGGCTCCTGCCGCTCCCGGATGGAGCTGCGGCGGCTCCCGCCCGCCCCGGCGGGAGCGGCGGTGTCTGTAACCCCTGCGAGCCCGCTCGGGACAGCCACACACAGCGCTCACGGAACGCGCGGCCCCCGCCGCTGCCGGGCTTCGGGCAATGCTTGTTGCTCCCGTGGCAGTGCCGAGCTCCACGGACAAATCCCGATCTCCTCATGCGGGGGGGAAAAAAAGCTCTGACGAGCCTCCTGATCCAGCTACCGGGCGAACGATGGACTCGTTACGGACCAACAGGAAGGAAAACCCACCGGTTATCACTCAGAGTGGCATCGCGACCCTTTCTGTCCGTTTTATCCATTTCATTTCCATCTTTTGCATTTCAAACAAACCGAGAAGCAAAATTTAAGCTGCTCTAACGAGACTTGCTGGCAAGTCCGTACATCGCCCGATGAAGGAAGGACAGCCATGTCCCCCAGCTCCTGCAGCCAGACACAAGGAATTCGGATCAGGTAAGGTGTTCGTGCACAGCAGACCAAGTCCATTCTTGCAGATGTGAAGTAAAATACAGTCTAAAGTGGTTATGGTGGAAAAATACCACATAAAACCTTGTAACTAACCTGCTGCTGCCCAAATCGTGAGGATTCTCTCCATCTCTCAGACTGCAATACCCAGGATCAGTTCAAGTAAGCGACAGTTATTTACCTTTCCCCAAAGACGAGTGCAAGCACATCTGTTTGAATCAGTTTAGTAACTCAGACCACTACTCTTGTGCAAAATTTTTATTAAAAAGAGAAAGGGTTCTTTGTAACAAAAAGTAGGTACAATGCTAATCATAAAATTGAAATTTTCAAAGATTTCAACAGACCAGACATGAAGTTTTGACAAAGACTATGTCTCAAGTTTAGAAAGTCTTATTCTTACACCTGAAAACACAGCCAACACATCTGTCAAATATGACTTCTTAATTATAAAAACCACTTATCAATTGGTAAATTTACTGGTGCATTATCAGGTTTTAACATGCAGTATCCATGATAAAGCTGCATATAATTCAAAATAATGTTGCTAGAATGCTTAGATTCTTACAGAACCTTTCACATTTCATAGCTTTAATAGTTTTCCTTCCAGTTCTCATGAACTAATGTTAAAGGTTATGTTCCCCTAAATATATAAAAAAATCCCTCTGCTTGAAAAAACCCCAGTGTCTCTCAGGTGACGTAAAAAGAATTTCAAAGAACCCCATAGTTTTGCTTTAGAAATAATACTTGAAAAATATCTTTACAGGGAAAAATAAAAATCCAGGGTTTACCTTTTCTTCAGTTTTTATGCGCGTGTGTATTATAGACATCACTGTACAGCACAGATCTTGCCCTAGTGACTACTCTCCTGCTTATCCCAACAGGCAGCAGGGAAGAAATGGCATGTAAGCTTGCTCAGTTACCCATCCCAGAGCATGAATAGTAAGTGATAGCTGTCGGAATCTGAGGTACCTCACATTTCCTCTGCAGTACCAGGATCAAGCTGTAGGTCCCTCTCCCACTCGCCAGTAACAGACTAACGAGCGGCATTAAGAATGAACCTGACACTTCCCAGCAGTTCAAGCTGATCAATACTTCAACGGGATACTGCAGTCGTTTCATGCAAAAAGTTGTCTGTTCACATAAATAGCCTCTGCGTCAGTGCCATATACTAGGCATGGTCCTAAAACATCTAAGCTATTCACAGACAAAGTCTGATTTGGAATTAAGTTGGTGATTTCCATGCGGTCTTTGGTAGGATCGTTGCTTAGCCAGGCACTTACTACAGACTGGTTAATGGTATTGTGGGAAAGATAGGTAGTATTTCTTCCTCCTGAAAGAAGGAAAGAGGGAAGAATGGGGAAAAAAAATTTTCAATTCAGTTTATATATTCTCAGAATTTGAAGAAACATAGTAGTTATGCAGCAGACATAATAGGAATATAATTTTGCATTTAAGTCAGTTTTCAGATTAGTTATCAGATGTCCTTTCTTTGGTAAATTAAGGAAAAAATAGCTTCAAAAAATATTAAGTACCTAATTACAGAAACCTGCTACCAGCTCTGACCTCAGTTAAGACAAATAAATCACAACAGCTATGACCTCATCTCACTGAACAGACAGTGTAAGTACCTGCAAGTTTTTCTAGCTAGATACTAAAGCAAGGACAGAACAAAAGTCTGTTCATACAGTGTCTTGCTATATTTGGGGTTTCGGCTTTGCTTCAGTAACACTTATTCCCTAATGTCCCTCCTCCCTACTTACTCTGCAGCAAGTGACACACCTGTATTTGACTTTGAATTTTTTCCACATAATATTTTACATTTAAACTAAGTATCACAGTTTGAGAACTGTCATTCGGCATAAAATTAACAGGTGTCTGAAGTGACGCTAAAGGATTTATATTTCATATACCTGAAAACATGCACAGTGCAACTTGAATCAGTAATCCTATCGTTTCCATATACAAAACTTAACTTTGAGGCCAAAGTCAGCATGTGACATCTGGAAGTTTCCCCACTGTTTACAGTCTGAAGTGGCAAGCACTTAGCAGTCTTTGTGAAATGTTTGTATTAAGTCAGTATCATAACTTTAAAATCCTGCCACAATGCAAAAGGACCCCATTTCATTCATTGGAATTTCCAATTTTGACCTTGAATTATGAATTCTACTATCTCTTTGACATATCAATTTTGTGGTATTCTAACTTTGTGTATCTCCCTCAGAGACTCAGTAATGTCATTGAGGCTGCCTCTGTGTCTTTTCTACATAAAGACGATTTTTAAGTGAACACAATCTCTCTTTGAAATCACAGATGTGCCCCTTCACACATTGGTAAGAGTGCAGCACATTAAGAAAACCAAAACCAGACCACAAAACACCCTCACACAACTGTTAGCCTTATAAGTAGTTTTCCTCAAGTGCCTATCAGTGCTTGCTTTCTAAGAAAGAAACCAGCTTTTAATATTCTGTATTAGGATTGTGTTATTAATTGGCTCATGTGAGAACACTGACTGGCACGATGTTGCCAACTGACAAATTCAATGCAGATGGACTTCAAACGTCATTACCTTGATGAAGAAAAGACGGTTTTTCAGATACATTTGTGGAAGCATCCCAGTGCCAAAGTGATCCATCTTCAGAACATGTAAATAAGTGATCAGGGTTGGAGGGATGGAAGTGAACTTCCCACACTGGAAGTATCAAACAGAACAATGTCAGAACCACTTCAGAACAAGTATCAAGTACTCCAATCACGGCACTTTGGATAGCATGATGTGGACATGCACATACAAGCAGCCATGCCCCCATCAAAACCTTCCATTCTTAAGTGTGTGTGGGTAGGACACCCAAAGCCCCATGCTTAATCATATACGGCAGTTTTCCCTCCCCTGGGAGAGGGGTGGTAGGAGGGGTAGGGGAAAAAAAAGGCTATTTTGTTGCATTTTCAGTATTGGAAAAATGGCTAAAGGTTAAAGTCATATCTGCATTCAGGCATTCTGTATACCATCTGATGCCATCTTCCCTACTATTAAGTTTAAATCTGCACACAGCATGCATTCCTTCCCAGCATGTTATTTTGCTTCTACATACGACAACTGTGGAAAAGACATTTAAATCAGTAAAACTTAACAGCAAGAAATATTTTTACTCATTTAATACGATTGTAGCATCAAGTAAATATATTTTCTGCACAAAAGGAACTGCTATCTTTTTTGTGTAAAGTTACTAGGAAAGCAAGCTGTTTCAGCATTGTGGAGGCACCAAATGGATGTGTACTATCTTGAGTTTCCCTTTCTTCCTCATGTTTTCAAGTTTGTTAGCATCTGCATTCTTGCTTTACTCTATCTGCATAACACAGCATCAATTTCTGTGACTCTTTATACACCTACCCTGCTAGAAACATAATCGTTCCGATCAAATGCACTTAAGGGCTCATTAAAGAATTTCTCACCAAGTCTAGTTTTAATTTAGGTAGAGTTGGCTTTTAGATAAGAACAGTCTCACATACAGAGAAGGAAGCCAACTGGGTGAAAACACATTGAGTAGTAGTAGGTATCCTGAGAAGAGTATAGAGGTGAAGGTTATGTAGGGATAGGGTGAGGAAGGCCAAGGGGAAGCTGGCACTGAACCTGGAAGGGGATGGAGAGAATCAAAGGAATGGCTTCTACAGGTACGTCAGCCAGAAAAGGAGGGTCAAAGAGGTTCCCCCCGATAAACAATGCTGGCAAACTGGTAACAACAGATGAAGAGAAGGCTGATATACTTGGTAACATTTTTTGCCTCAGTTTTCAATGGCAACCTCTCTTCCCACACCTCTCAAGTGAGTGGACTGCAAGTCAGAGTCTGAGGGAGCAGAGTCCCTCCTGCTGTAAGAGAGGCTCTGGTTTGTGACCACCTAAGGTATTTGAACATACATAAATCTATGAGACCTGATGAGTTGCATCCCAGAGTCCTGAGGGAATTGGCTGATGTAGTTGCCAAGCCACTCTTCATATGTGAAAAGTCATGACAGTCAGGTGAAGTCCCAGGTGACTGGAAAAAGGGAAAGATGGGTATATACCCATGTTTAAAAATGGTAGATAGGAGGACAACTGACTTGTCAGCCTCAGCTCTGTGCCTGGGAAAAACATTCTAGCCAGCACAGCTTCACCAAGGGCAGGTCTCCTGCCTGACCAACCTAATGCCCTTGTATAATGGATTGACTATATCAGTGGACAAGGGAAAGGCTACAGATGTCATTTATCTGCACTTCTGTGTAAGGCCTTTCACATAATCTCCCACATCCTTCTAAATTGGAGAGATTGGGCTGACTGTTTAGTGGATGAGGAATCGGTTGGACAGTCACATCCCAAGGCTAGTAGTTAACAGCTCTGGGTCCAGATGGACAACAGAGGTCCATATTGGGACCAGTGTTATTTAATATCTTCATCAATGACATAGTCAGAAGCAGCGTGGCCAGCAGGTCAAAAGAAGTGATTCTCCCCCTCTACTCTGCCCTCATGAGACCCCACCTGGAGAGCTGCATCCAGCTCTGGGGTCCCCAATATAAGAAGGACATGGATCTATTGGAGCGAGTCCAGAGGAGGGCCATGAAGACAGTCAGAGGGGTGGAGCACCTCTCCTATGAAGACAAGCTGAGAGAGTTGGGGTTGTTGAGCCTGGAGAAGAGAAGGCTCTGGGAAGACCTTACAGCAGCCTTCCAGTACCTAAAGGTAGTTTACAAGAGGGTTGGAGAGGGACTTTTAACAAAGGCATGTAGTGATGGGACAAGGGGGAAAGACTTTTAACTGCCAGAGGGCAGGTTTAGATTAGATATTGGGAAGAAATTCTTTACTGTGAGGGTGGTGAGAAAAAGGGAGCTGGAACAGATTGCCCAGAGAAGTTGTGGATGCCTGCAAGTGTTCAAGGCCAGGCTGGATGGGGCTTGGAGCAACCTGGTCTAGTGGGAGGTGTCCCTGCCCATGGTAGATGGGTTGAAAGTAGATGATCCAAAAGTCTCTTCCAACCCAAACCATTCTATGATTCTATGAAAGGCAACTATGTGATTGTTTTCTACCATAGTTACAACAGCTTATCTTGTACCAAAAATAGAAACTTCTCTAAAATAATGCCTTCTTCTCCCCCTCAATTTCAGGTACTTACTTTCTGCTTCATGAGCATTTAGCAGGGACACTGGCATAGTACCCTGCCTGATGTCCCATATGCTCAGCATCCCATCCTGGCCCCCTGTGGCCACAATATGCTGCTGATTGGGATGCCTGTCCACACAGTGCAGTGGAACTCTGTCACCTGCCCTGCAAAGAGAAAAAACCAAAACAACCAAATAACCCAAACATGAATTCTTTATTTAGTTTCTGTTTTCTCCTTCTTAATCCCTAGGAGTGTTGACAAGTGAGGTACTGGTATCCACTGCAGCTTCAATTCCTGTAGCATCTGATCACCACAGGCTGAAGCCACATGACATCTACTGGAAACCAGAGGTATGGCCATAACATGAAGCTACAATCGGATGAGCATCAGATTCCGTGCCCTACGGTACACAGGCATCTGCACAGCATCTGACAGCTTTACAGGAGTGTGACAGCCTTGCATACACATAATGCTCTATGTATACCTACAATAAGATTCCTGTGAAATGCATGTTATAATTACAGTTTCAACATACGCTAAGAGTTACGAAGGGAGACTGGGCACTAACAAAATCAGTCACCTAAACTACAGCCTATTAACAGCAATGGGAATTATCACACAGACAACAACGGTATTTAAATCTAGCTCACTTTTTTCTCACAGTACCTTATAAGGCACAAAGGTACCATTCAAATACATTCCAAATGCCAGAAACCTTATATTAGGCCTGTGGAGAAAAGCAGATGTAAAGTGTATATATATAAATAGGGGAAGAGTTTTGGGTTGAGGATTGGAATTTGTTTTCTTAAAAATGAGCAAGTGTACAGGTGCAGTAGTCCTTCAAGAGTTAAATCATAAAACAGACCACCTTAACACAATGCTTAGTCACAACAGTGGTTCGGCCATTAAGCATTCTGCTTTTGACTATTTAATTACCACAGAAGTTAAAATCCTTTAAAAAAATCAGTGATATATCATCCCATTTTTAGGACACTATCAGGAAAGATCTAAATCAGATTATATAAAGTAGCGCATGCTTCTCAGTAAATATGTAAAAAAATGGAGGTCTTACAGAGAAAATATTTGAGATGGCTCATTTCTTTGCTGTCTGAGGTCCCATATTTTTAACTGTCCAATTGAATTTACTGTCAAGATCTCAGTTGTGCGAAGGAAAGTCACTGCATGGAGTGTACTGCTGTCCGCATTGTCTGCAAGAGATGAGAAAACCATTCAGGTAAACCTATGGAATGCTAATCTCCATTTAATTACAACAAAATAACTCTTTATAGAAAACAGAAACATGCTTACAACCTCTGCATTTTCAGCATCAGGGACAGATCAGTATCTGCAAATACTCGGTGAAAAAGGAGCCCTTGCTTCCTATATCAAACACTTCTGAGACAAATCTGTAAGAAGCTGTGTTTAATTAGCTTTGGTGCTTAGAGAACTACTTGTTCATCCATAAAATTTCTTTTTGCAGTTCCTTCAAGAGGAATCAATTCAGCCAAGTTTATGGTTTTCAAAAGTTTTCTTTATATGTCCAGCACCTACTGACAGGAGACAACTATGGAGCTTTTTATAATGAAGTTCTTCTGAACACAAGGAACAGTACTCTGACTGGGAACTTTAAGCAGCTGTGTGCAGAAACACTTAATTCACCGACTTTTAGACCTTTTTCTAAGAACTGTCACTGTGATATCAAGTTAAACCAGAGTTATGCTGTGCTTGTTAATAAGTAAATGGCAAAGCTCTATTTTTTCCAGGTCCTTTTCTCCAGTGCTTCTTCTGGTCAGCGTAATTTAAAATGTTAAACAATTCACAGCATTGAGGTGAAACTTTTGAGGCCTTAGGAGAAAATGTGGACACCATTTTCTTTTAATTCTGTTACTATATAGAAAGCTTTCATCTTGATTATGATGGGGTAACATTGTTAAGTCTACTTTCACCTCAAATATTTTAAAATTCTTTGTGTAAGTCCATACAAAAAGAAACTATAGGTGAATTATTATGTTTCTGAATAAGACAGATGCCTGATTACAGATTTAGCAGTGATCCATTTTTATGGCTCCAAAAGATTTTTACTGAATCTCTAACTTCAGAGATTTTTTCCTACCATAATTGACTACAAACCTATCAACTTTGTATTATACTCTTAAATCCATTAAACAATAACAAAAATATCAAAGTATTCCCTTCCGTATATTGAATGAGGTACAAGAGTTCTATCAGCTCAGTGCCTGTGAAATATCAAGGTGTCATTGAACTGGGAACCAGTATGAGAGACTGCTTACACCGAAGAACTCCATGCTGAAGAACCTGAGAGCATCTTCCCAGGTGTTCTCTCTCCAACTTTTACTGTAAAACCATCCCTAATATGTAAGTTTGTGCGTGTCCTTTCCACCTAACTCCACATAAGGTTCACTTACGCATCATTGGTTTGATAGACTTATTTAGGTACCATTCCTATTTTAATGTTTCCCTTCCCGTTTTCAAAAGGACATTTCTGAGTTAACCCACATGTGATTTCTTGAATGTTTACATGCCAGCAGATCTAAATGCAATCCTTCCTGCAGCGTAACACTGGATGAAGCTATCACTACAAAGTAAGCATTTTCAAGTAGTACTATGAAGTGAGGACCAAGAAAACTAACAACTTGCATCCTACACATTATTAAATCTATAGGTAAGCATCCGAGAAAATTGCCCGGAGAAAAATAATTTTGGGTTTCTTGATATTTGCTTCATGAGAATTCACAAAACATTCTAGTCTATTAAACTTGTACCAGCACATTCTGCGTTGGTATCTGTGCATAAGTAAAAATTTTACAATAAAATAATCCTTTTAAATTAGTTAATGTCTTTGCCCCTCAAAAAATCATAGAATCACAGAATCATTAAGGTTGGAAAAGACATCTAAGATCGAATACAACCTTTGACCAAACAGCACCATATCAATGAGACCATGGCACTAAGTGCCATGTCTAGACATTTCTTGAATGTTTCCAAGGATGGTGACTCCATCACCTCCCTGGCCAGCCTGTTCCAGTATTTCCTATGAAGAAATTCTTCCTGATGTCCAACCTGAACCTCCCCTGGCACAGCTTTAAACTATGTCCTCTTGTCCTGTCACCTGAGAGAAGAGGCTGACCCCCACCTGGCCACAACCTCCTTTCAGGCGGTAGTAGAGTGATAAGATCTCCCCTGAGATTGTTACTGTGTTTTGTGTGTACCTGATAAAAAAATATGGCTCATGCCTTGCTACTTTTTTTTTAATATAGAAAGTTTTTCAATAGAAATTCTCAAGGAACTTCAGTGAAGGGCTGTATGCAATTAATAGGATTTATCATACAGCCATGGACACACAAATACACCTCCTCCCCCCTCCAAAATCCCAATGTACTTCCTTCCTTAGTTGGCTTTATCACTGTGTAAATTCTTTCATCCGCTGGAGGAAAGGTTTTGCTTAACAAGAAACAAAGTGCTGTGTGAAACTGAAGCTTCAGGAAGAAAGTTTTGGTTTAACAATGCCACTATCAAACGTAGTGTTACTATCCTTTAAATTACGTCTGCTTTTGAGTTCAATTTCCAGCAGATGCTCCGAACTCGTATTCTGTTTTCATGATTCTAGCATGATAGAAGAGCTGGGAATAACTAGGTTTTGACACCTTCCTTCATCCCATAATCTATTACTCTAGGGAATACGGAGCTTTTTCACCAAGAGAGAAATGATCCCTTGCTACTATTACCATATTTGGCAGAAAAACAGGGTACAAACAGTGGTTTCTGGTTCTTGCTGTTCCTTTAGACACAAATAGATATTTTAGTATATGGACACCACAAGGGTTAATCTTAATACAAAGAGTGAATTGAAGTGACCATTTCACTGACCTCCAGTTATGAAGAACTTGGGAGACAATACCTCTTGAAATCTATCCGTGTTTCATATATACTGATATAGTATTTAACAATTCTAGGTGAAACAGAATCCTACTGAGAACATTGGGGTTGAAGTTTCTCTGTCAGCTAAAACATTAACTTACATATACCTGAATAAATATAGAAATACATCTGAAGTATGTTCAAGTATTTAAAGTCTGTAGGGATACAGGATTAGTGTGGAGCAAACGCATTCAGCTTGGAATACTGAAATCAATTATCAATTGACTTTTTTTTTTTTTTTTTGTTATCATTTGCGGACTGAAAGCCAAACAAGCCCCGCCAAACTATAGTAATTTGAACAGTTATTTCACATACCTATAGTTCTTACTGCATCTTTTTGGTCAGCTCTGAAGAGATTTATTCTACCATCTTCTCCAACAGTGACAATTTCTGGGTTGCTGCAGACGACTCCCGTACATGCTGCTCCACCACAAGATGTGTCTTGACCCACATGGTAATGGGCCCTCTCCCACCGATGGTTGGCAGATAATGTCTAAGTAGTAACCAGACATGAAATTATGCTGTTAAATAATGAACCTGGTAGAATGAAGCTTCCAGAACACTCATGAAACCAGTAACAAGCTCCAGAAAAGCCACACCACCTCACAGGAATAAGAACCTCCTATATAAAAAGGAATCAAGAGATCTAAATTTTCCTTAACTCTTTAACACACAACCCTCCCATGAAACATTAATTATCTCTTTTCTAAACCACTGTTTTCACATGACCTAGAAATTAGAAAGAATACTATTTATGAACTGTAAAATGTCCTTGACTAGGCTGATGCCTTCAATCTTTCCCTAAGACAAAGGAAAAACCTGAAACCTTTACAAAATACAACATCACATTTAGATTTTGATGGCAAAGTACTCAGTTTATTTACCACAGCAAACCATTAGCAGACATTTGTCTTTACTGTGTCATTGAGAATACGTAAGAAAAGTAATTATGCATTTATTTTCAGTGATTTATAATCAAAGCAAAAGACTATAGAGTTTGCACATCTTCCCTCACTCATGAGAAGAAATTCAGCATAATTTATTTAGTTCAAGAATGCAAAAACTCTAATAAGGCAGGTACAAATCCATTAATACCCACTCCCCCAAAACAATCTAATCTCTTAAAGTAGGTTTTCAGTGAATGGACTGTTTGGTTACAGGATGTATGCTACAAGACACCCCCGTCTTGCCCTGGAATCTCCTTCATGTAGCATGTGTGTAAAATGCTTTTTTCTTTCCTTGTATGTATAAAGTCAAAGCTTATTCTAACACATTTACTTATTAAAATAATTGGTTTCGGTAGGTAAATGTTTCTTATGCTGAGATCAAAGTGAGCTGTATTACACAGAATAGCACCTTAAAGCCAGTGCATGTTACATACCTGGTTATTTTGATGATGACGGAATATAGTTACAGTTCCTGTTGATGAGCCAACCACAATTCTCTCTTGATCCAAAAACTAAAGAGAGATAGTAAGTATGCTATTAGTCGATGTTATTACTAAGATTATCATTTTGATTTTTGAGTAACCTAAATGATTGGTAGATAGAGGGAAAAACCAAAGCAAACCAAACCCCCAAAAAACAACCCCACAAAGCCAGTGGTTGGCTTTTGCCCTTTTTCTTTGTAGGAGTTTTTTGGCCAATCTCAGCATTTTGACAGCTCATCCTCGCTTAACTTCTCCTTAGTGACAAGTCCTTAAAAGATCTATTCAACACAGCTATTTTAAAGCTATTTTACCTGCATGTCCATAACATCACCGTTGTGCTGGATATCACACAGCAGGTGAGGTTCTCCATGATATTCACCATTGAGGCCCACATTTCCGAGGTCGTCCGCAGACCAAAGGGAGATCCTGTTATCCTGTACGGAAACGACACCACCACTTTTACTCGAAAATGCTTTCGAAAGTATCCAACACTACGCCTCAGCCAGGGAAAGCGCCAGGCTGGCGGCTGCGCACCGCTCTACGAAGCCGCCGCCGGCCGGAGGAAAGCGCTCTCCCGGCGGGATAACGCTGCCGGGCGGCGGGGCGGCCCCACCGCTTCCTCAGGGACACGAGCACGGCACAGCCCGGCGCAGGGCGGGAGCGCCGGGCCGGGAAGGGCTCCCGGCGGCCCCAGCTCCGCTCCCCGCGCCCAGCGGCGGAGGCGCAGGGCACAGGGGCGGCGTGAGGTGCCCCCGCCGCCAGCCCCGCGCCCCGGCGGGAAGGTCGCGGCGCGCCTGCGGGCCCGCGCGGGCGGTACCTCGTTGTCCCAGGAGCCGGTGGCGAAGACGTCGGGGGGCTGCAGGGCGGCGGCGGGCGGGGGCCGCCAGCGCGCCCGGCTGATCTTCTGCGACACGAACTTGGCGCTCACGTCCTCCATGGCCGCGCCCGCCGCGCGCCGCTCCCGCCCGCCCCGCGCCGCGCGCGCTCATTGGCTGCGGCGCGACGGCGAGCGCGGAGGGACAGGCGGGGGCGCGGCGGTGCGCGGGCGCGCGCGCGGGCCGGGGCGAGCCGCGACAGAGGAGCGTCCCGCCCCGGCACCGTCCCCGAAACCGGCACCGCAGAGGAGGACATCGAGCAAGGAGGCAATGTGCGCCCTGCCTGCTCGGCTGGGCCGGCGGCCCCCGGAGCGTTGTGTACGTGTGTCAGCTTTGCATGACGTGCACCAGCTTCTGTTTTCTCAAAATGAGTGATTGGGACAGCAATTAAGCATCTCCGGTCTGCTTTTAAATATGTCCTGGTTTCGGCTGGGATAGAGTTAATTTTCCTCCTAGTCGCTGATAACAGCGTTGTGTTTCAGATTTAGTATAAGAATGATGTGGGTAACAGACTGATGTTTTAGTAGTGCTTACCCCAAGTCAAGGACTTCTCAGCCCATGCTCTGCCAATGAGCAGGTGCACGAGAAGCTGGAGGGAGCACGGCCAGGACAATTGACCTGAACTGGCCAAAGGGATATTCCATACCATGGAGCATCAGTCTCAGTATAGAAACTGGGGAGAGTTGACCATGAGGGACCAATTGCTGTCCAGGGATGGGCTATTTAATCTTGTTTTATTTCAATTGTAAATGTTACTAAGAGATAAATTATTATTAATTCAACCTATGGGTTGGGTTTTACCTTTGTTTTATTCCAGTTCTCCTCGTTCCACCTTGGGGACTTGGGTGGGGTGTATATGTGACCAAATGGCTGCCTGGTACTTGGTTGTTAGCTAGGGTTAACCATGATAACATACCTTGAAGTGACACTCTTCTCCCTCTGGCAGATTCCTACCTGTATACAAATAATTACAATACTTCTTTTTTACCAAATAGCATGTTAAATCAAATGGGAGCACACAGGTACATCCTTTCTAGTATTTCACTTGAGACCTAAACAACTATGCAATAAAAGGTTCAGAGGTTAGTTGTAAAATGAACTAAAGGCTGACATAGCTATGTTGTCAGTTGTCATTTCAGGGGATGAGATCATTTGTCCAGCCACTGTACTGCAGTAAGGGACTTTATCACAAGCACTTTTACAATCTGATTTTCTGCTGCATTTTTTCTTGATGCTGCTGATGCTGCCAGCTCTCAGAAGTTCTGTCAGGTGGACTTAACAGTGGCTTGGACAAACTTTCACCTGTGTTATTGCAGTTTGCCTGCTAAGGCCATCTGTCAGATTTCTTCTATACAGCATTTTTGAGTTCTTCAGCAAGTCTGCTATGCTGTTTTGTAATCCCTCAGATGTGATGCCAAATTAATGATATTTTGTATGCTTCATGCATCATTTGAACTTTCAGTTGAGATTAACTTTTTTTTTCCATATTTATGTACAGCAGAATCCAACACTGAACATATTCAAAAAGCTGGATGCTATTGTAGTCTACCATACTGCAAGCCTTAAAACAGCTTTGTTGCACACGGCAGTAGCATTATTATTCTACAGTAGCAAATACCTCTGGCACCCTGTATTAAGCTGATAGCAGCAGCTCTGCAAGTCACTGTCAACTCCCAAGGTATTTTCAGCTAATTCTTGTAACACTTGTGAGAAACATTGATAGGCAGCCTCAGAATACAGCTACAGACCAGATAGCTAAAAGCTGAAGAGACAACACTGTGGATTATTAAAAAGTTTTATTAGGCAAATATTATTGTTGGTTTCTTTGTGATTTCTGTGCGTCTTTTTCATCTTGTGCTTTTGGATGCTTTCTTTCTTTGCTCAGGATTGCTTGTTCAAAAGCATTTGTGAAGTATTAAGGAGAATAGGTTGGACATAGCGGCTTATTGTCACTTAGAGGAAAAGAAGAGTGACAGTTTTTCTTCCCTGCCCTACATTTTTTTAAGAGAATGTT